CGCGTACTAAAGTTGTACTACAAAATCGCCAGTTCTCATCTTCCAGCTCCCCAGCTACTCCGCGTACTAAAGTTGCACTCCGCGTACTCAAGTTGTACTACCAAGTCGCCAGTTCTCATCTTCTAGCTCCCCAGATACTCCACGTACTAAAGTTGTACTACCAAGTCACCAGTTCGCAGCATGGGACAAATCGCACTCTCGCCTGCCTTTCGCGCACTCGACACGCACGATCTCCGCAGAGGGTTGCGCGGTAATTTCACAAATCGCGCTCTCGCCTGCATTTCGCGCACTCGACCTCCGCAGAGGGCTGCGCGGTAATTTCACAAATCGTGCTCTCGCCTGCATTTCGCGCACTCGACACGCACGATCTCCGCAGAGGGTTGCGCGGCAATTTCACAAATCGCGCTCTCGCCTGCATTTCGCGCACTCGACACGCACGATCTCCGCAGAGGGCTGCGCGGTAATTTCACAAATCGCGCTCTCGCCTGCATTTCGCGCACTCGACACGCACGATCTCCGCAGAGGGTGGCGCGGGCATGGGAAAAATGCGTCAACCTGTTCGTCGCACCCTCCGCCTTTAAGAGAGAATTTATAAAGTGGTGAAGTGTTTTTCATTAGGACATCTCCCGTGCAAGTTTTCCATACTCACACTTGCATACTCATTGCATACTCATTAGGACATCTCCCGTGCAAGTTTTCCATACTCACACTTGCATACTCATTGCATACTCATTAGGACATCTCCCGTGCGAGTTTTCCATAGTCACACTTGCATTACACTTGCATACTTTTTGCACTTGGATACTTGCCGTTGGATAGTGTAAGTGTTCGTGTTCATGTTCAAGTGTAAGTGTGGAAGCGTAAGTGTTCAAGTGTACGTGTCGAAATGTCAGTGTTCAAGTGCAAGTGTGGAAGTGTCAGTGTGTGAGTGTAAGTGTAGAAGTGTCAGTGTTTAAGAGATTTTCCGGAAGAACCCTTCGCAATGCTTTCGGGAAAAAGAAATTGGATTGCAATCAAATATATATAATCAGATATTAGCAGGGATTTCGCGTCGTGGAACCGTTTGCTTTGACCCAAACGACAGAAACAGCGCCTAGGGCGGTGCGTCCGCAGCGGCCGCCCGGTCAGCGCGCAGCCGTCGCATGGTGGGCACCTCAGTGAAACAGACTGAGCACGACAACGAGACTTCCCTTCTCGCCAGTTGGTCATTCCCTACCAATCCAATAGTTGGTCCCATAGACTCCCGATTCCAAGGCACATCAAGCTTGGACTGTCTCAAAATGAGGAGACCACGCAACCTGCTGGTTCATTGACCATACCAATCCAATAGTTGCCTCCTAGCTTCCAAATCACCTCATTTTTCCCGAACGCTTTCGCTTCGACTTGTCGCCAAAGGGCCAAGTCGTCCATCTCACCGAAGTTCGACAGGAGGCGTCGGGCCATCTTGTTCAAGGCCTCCACGCCAAAAGAGCCCCATGTTGGTATCATCCATGTTTTCTTGGTGGCAGGCCTCCCACCTCCCAGGAGTAAGCTACTAGGCCAAGATAGCTTCTT